GGGGTTAAAGTGTGAAACACCTGGCCAAAGTTAATTTATGTTATTCAGACTTAATATTTAAAAATGTATCTAACAATTGATGTATACATGCAAATGCTAACAGTCGTTTTTTTTTACAGACTGCAGGTTGAACCACTGTCTTGTTCGTTTCGGAGTTTACAAGCTACATTTGGATTAATAATGGCGGTTCCAGTAAACCATCAGATTAAACGGAACCCAGTCATTTCTAAGGTCTGACTCTCTTTTGTCATATGTGTATTTCCATCTGTTTTAATACATTCACGTGTACTATTTTAGGGAAATGTACTTGCAGTATGCATACTTAAAGTTATTAGAATAAGCAGACAAAAATGGTCAGCTAAATAACAATTGCCACTGAAAGCTAGTTAAAAATACTAGCTTTTTAAACAGTAGATGGTGCTGTCTTTTTGTTTATGAGGGCCTCTAGAACCAGGAAGCTTAACTAGGTTTCATCATTTCTAACCTACTATGATAAAAGCTGCCTTAGCCGCAGAGTTTTAAGCTAGAAATGTACTCTGTTACCTTTTAATTCCACATTTAATTATTCACTTTTTGCCATTTTTTGCCTTTCTGCCTGATTATAACGACTATCACTACAATTCTTGCATTTTAGTTCAGTTTACATGCAGGGTTCAAGAATAGCATTTATTTTAATGCATAGCAATTCAGTGCAGTGTCATCTGATTTCTTTAGTGTTTTCAGGTCATATTGTACTTAATTTAGAATGTTTTTCTCGAACACTTCCTGTCTCTTAGTCATTTTAGAGACTCTTGAGTTCCCTCTACTGGCACAACATTTATTTTAGAGCTTCTTTCTAGAAACATTCAACACTGGGCAGGCAGGGCTCTAGGTACTATTTATGGTGTTCATTTCATCTTTGTTATACTGTGTCATGCTATGCTACTTTAAGTATTAAACATTTTAACTATGAGCAAATTCATATTTTGACCGTTTTCGACTAAATACGACCATTTCAATAGAACATTTTGGTGCTAGAGTAAATTTTCGCCTCACCGTGGCGCCCCCTATTGTCCTGACGCATTATGACAGGAAGCCTAGCGCCTCTAGCGGCCGGTAAGAGCAGCGCGTCTCTCTCCCGCCACTGCGCCGCTCCGCTTCTTTCTGTTTGTCAGACTCGCAATACGAGGGAGAGGAGCGAGCCGCCATTTTCCGAGCTCGTCGCTTTCCCCTCGAACGACAACAATAAAAAACGGACAAAAGCGGGGTTTTCTAAGCCGACATCGAGCACGAAGACCTTCCGGAGAAGGAGAGAAGGGACTGCGCTCAAAGAACGACCGGAAAAGGGATACATTTCACTGCTTTTGCGCGGCTTTTGTCGGGGACGATTGAAAAACAGCCGACTAGGCTCCTATAGCTCGACTGCCCCCGTTTCTTTCGCCCATTTCGTGATTCCTAAACGCAGCCCGGAGGAGTGGGAGGAGGAAAAGGAGGGGGTTACCGAGCACCGGAGCGCGCGAGAGGCCCGGGATTTTTCCACCTGAACGTGCAACAGCGGAATCTGCATCTGGATAATTGCTTCTGCCTGTCAGTTATTACTGCTATATTTCTTAAGCGTGGGGATTTATTACATACATTTCCCCCGGAATCGGCTCCTCATCACGTGGTAGGTTCCTCCTTTTCTCTTTGTTAGTTTAAAACTCGCTAGCGTGAGGCAACTCGAGACGTTTTTAGCGCATTTATGCACTTAAATCGACGCGCGGTGAAACGGTGCACGTCGAGGGCACGTTAACTCTACAAATGCGGACGCTTTTCGCTCTCCGTAGTTATTTTGCAACGTCTGTTCTTGTTAAACCCGTGAAGTAGGCGGCGTTGAAAGTCAGACCATCAAGGTTGCAAAATCAGCCAGACATAATTATACGTGTCAGTATTACGAAAGCGCGTAGTTGGTAATCAAGCGCGACACGAGTTCTTTCACGCTTTACATTGAGTAACGTTAGGTTAAACGCGTGCAGTGTACGCGTGTGTGAGCGCTGGGTGGGTGCGCAGTATATGTCTGCTGCATCTAGATCAGTAACGTTAGGCTTTCGCTTGTGCTGGTGCGAATCGTATGCATTACTATCTCAGTTACTGGATGTTGTCCCAGGCCTTTGCGTTACATGGATTTCCAGTCATACAGATTAATTATAATACAGTCAACGCGAGCTGGCCCTTTAAGACTCAACATTGGGGCTAAAAAAATTATGAGAATACATGTTATTCTAATATCTTCTTACGAAAATAAGTCACAAATTGATTTCCGGTATCTGTTCAGTACGAAATATACCCATGTATGTGCAAAAAAATGTTACAATCGGGTGGTAAACAGTTACAACTTTTGCATTAAGCCTGGACACGGGGAGTTTTCCATAACTAGCTGCATTACATAATATTTGGTTGTTTTCCCCCTCTTTTTTCCCTCCGGTTCTGTCCTCGCACCGCCGAACCGGACTGACGTCGCAAAAGCATTCTTATTAGAACCCTTTACGCCGCGCAACATTCGGCTGCGTCTCGACACGTTCCTAATAACGGACAAAAATGCCGTTTTAGTAGGCATCACGCCAGCTTTTGAAACGCTGCCAGCGATTCTTCATGGCCTTAAACTCGCCCTAACCCTTATTTTCCGTATAATCTCGGGGTTTATTTATATTTAGCTCAGTATTTGCCTGGTTGTGGACAGCAGAGGGCTTTATGTGTAATAGAACATTAACCTGCTCAACCTGTGGTTAGTGTAACGCGCTGTACTTTTCCATTATAGAATGTGTTACGTTGCATGTTTTTCGCAGCACTCACTTGATCTCAGGTCTCAAATATAACAGGTTCCGTTCCGCATGTGTACGTGATGTTTATGGTTTAAAGAGACATCCGGTGATGTTTTGTTCCTGATTAATGACGCGATTTTTATTGCTATATGTCTTTCGTGGCAAATTTGACTTTTGAACCTTGATCTGTTTTGCGCTTTATAGGACGTTCAGATACATTACATATTGTCTGTCCCACAAGACATCGACTGTTATTTATTAAATGGAGGCCTATTTGTTTCTCTGAAACCTTTTGTTTTTCTCTCTCTCTCATGCTGTTTGTTTTCCGTTCGCTCTCTTATTTCCTGGTTTTGAGGTCTTTTGTGTTCTGTACTGGAACATCAATCTGTTTGAGATGTTTTTCTCCATATTAAACTTGCTCTCTTGTACACAGCACATGTGTTGAATTGTTAAGGTCTGTCTGTGGGATATTTTAAGAGTCTGTAGGGGTCAGCATATGATTATGAGCTGTTGTGTACTTTCTTTTCGTTCCATCCAGATTTATCATTGTCCTACATCCCCTCCTCACAGGAAGAGCTGTTATGTAACACCTCAATACCTTTGACTGAGTGCCTTAATTTTTTCAAGGCGGTGCAGTCATTTGGAAATCGCTTTTTTTTTTTTTGTCAGATTTTCCCCCCTGTGATTTTAAGGGCAAGAAATGAGCTCTAGGTAGAGCAATGTGACCTTAAAGTCATGTTGACACTCTAGTATATTGTTTTTTTAATTTGTCTGTTACTCTCTTGATATAAATTTTGTGTGGGTCGCTGCAGATCTCAGCTGTTGAGCTGCATGGAATTGTTATTTTTGGCTCCCATGTTGTTGAAGGCTGTCGGAGTGAATTTGAAAGAGAATTGAATTATTTCTTTGAGGCATTTAAATCAATCTTTCTTTAATCCTGTTATGATCCATTTGAGTATTGATACCCATACTACTCTGTGTAATAATTACACAATCAATGTCAGTTTGAAGTATAAATCAATGTCACCTACAGTACCTGCTTTTTGTCTGACCTCCAAACCCCAAGGCCTGGTTTTATTTTAAACTTAAAATTCTTAGCTCCTAACTTGTACCTGTTAAGTGAACTCTGTTCTTTTTGGCAGGGGATTAGTTTGGCAAGACTTTTCTCTCTGGGAGGTTAAAAATGAAAAGTGAAAGAAAGTGCAAGCTGCTGACAAGCAGTGTCTGGAGACATCAAGGATGTTCTGGAAAGTTCAAGGCCAGGGCTGGAGACATCCACCAGACCATTTGCCTGGGAGCAGAGAGAGGAGTCCGTTAGATTGTGAGACAGGACCACCTGTTTAATGTGTTTGGGAAAAATAACCTGACATGGTGGCCTGCACCCAGAGATGGTTGTCGTTTAAGTCCAATTAACATGGATTCTCTGTTACAAGGGCGAGTGTGTCTGTTTTACAAACAACAGGCCTTTTTTGTGGGTGAAAGTTATTTGCTTTAAGTCTTTTTAAATGAAATGCTTTCTGATTTCAGTCTTTAAGGGCTGAATACTTAGCATAACATAGCTGGGAATACTTGAGTCATATGGAAGACTTCAAGACTCCATGAGAATGTTGAGTTGCCCTTCTGTCTCTGAAGTCAAAGATTTTCTTTAGTTTTTTTTTTTTTTTTCGTAGATTGATCTTCTGAAGAGAATGATAACACAGAATAATTACACTTTAAAGAACAAGTGTCCACTGCTGTTGTGTTTCTCAAACCAGCTGTGTCAGTGTTGTTAAAAGTTGTTAGCCAAGGTTAGTCCGAACCTAGGGTTTAAAGTTCATTTACCTGCCACAAGGGTAGCTGACATAAATCACTTTCAGGAAGTTGAAATATGTAGTGGTGTGACGTTGTATTCCATCTAAACTATTTTAAACAGCTTTTTGATTGTTATATTTGCAGCTTTTATGAAATTAGATTATATGGAACATTTCATCTTTTACAATTTAAGGCCTGGACACAACAAGCCGACTTCAAAGAACTAGCGGCGCAGCAGCTATCAATAGTATATATTTGTCATTCAAAAGGAGAAAACGAAACAAAGATATACGAGATAAACGCAGATATATGAAACGTAAACAAAGCAGCGCTTTCTTGCCATTTTGAATATCAGTAACGTTGATAACGTTAATTATTTTAAGCGGCTCATGTTGTTATGAAAACATTTGCGTATTAGAAACCGTCTTCATTTACTTGCTTGTTTTCATCACTTTTGCTTTAATTCTCGGGCACTGACTCGTTTGCTAAACTGAACATCCAATCAGACCTCTCACTTGCGCCGACGACATGATGAGAGGGGGAAAACAACATGTTGAATCGGGCAAACTGCCGCCGACTTGAGCCCGACGAGAGCCGACGAGTGGAACACACCAAACAAACTAGCACGACCGTAGCTCGCCGTCGGCCTGACGTTTCACACCTCAAGTCCATTTTATGTGCAATAGTGAATTCAGAATATGCACATCTTCATAACCGTTTTCACAAAAAAACACTATATAATTAAAAGTATGTCATCTTTTGTCAAATTCTTAAAAAAATGATATTTTATAAGCTTTTTCAAATTTTTAATTAAAACGACAGAATAAGAACAAGTAGAATACGAAATATAAGTTACCAATCAAATTAAATCAGTATTAACAAAATTAATTTGTAGAGGTGGCACAGAAGAACACAAAAGTGGCTTGGTGTACTTTCAGACATTTAATGAGGCTCAGAAGTGGAATGAGTGCAATTAAATTAATAAATTCATGATGATATTAATGTTTTAAATATAAAATTTTGAATATAGAAATATTAAATGATTTAAATAACTGAAAAGATACTTTTAAAATGAAACAAACTGCCAGCAGGTGGCGGTTCATTCAATTCATTCAATTGATTCATTCGAACGGCTGATTCATTCAGGAATGAATCAAGTGACAGTCTTTATGAAAGGGTAATCATGAATCACTGACTCACTAGATTCATTTAAAAAAAAACGTTCATTCATAAACAAGACACCTCTGTGTTTGAATGGAGATGCACAGCGGCTGAGGTTTATAGTCGCACGCAGTAGTTTTCAGTCGCAAATGCGACTGAAATGGTCGCACTGTAGAGCCCTGATATATTTCTTTTAAGTAGTTCATGGACATGAGATGTCAACTTTTCACAAATAAAGGTCTTTTAATAAAGGCGCTCTCTCATACACGCCTACCTTTACACAGTCAAAAAGATAAGCTCTCATTCACACACTTCCTCCTCAGGCCAGACTGAGAAATAACATCTAGACATTACAACCGCTTGAAATAATTTTTATTTAATTGAACGTATTGATTGTGTTTGAGTTTTAATCACAGTTGAATGTGAATGATCAATGCCTAGATCATTTTGCAATTAAATATCCCTGTTTTAGTAAAAAAAAAAAAAAGAACAAGGTTATCACTTATTAGCTTTTAGCTGATATATTCAGTTGAGATATATATATATATATATATATATATATATAAATATAATAAAATATAATATAATATAATATAATATAGAGAGAGAGAGAGAGAAGAAGAACAAGTAGATGTCCTGTGAAAAACTGGTATAGGATTAATTAGTAAGTACCTTACGTTTTCTCAGAAGCCAGCACTGTGTGTGGCATAGGTGCTGTGATCAGTGTTGGTAGTGTTGTTGTGGCTTTAGGTAATTGTAATTACACAACTGCACTGTGCTCAGGATAAAAAGTGTCCCCTGGGAAAATACGAGTCAGTAGTTGATGATGACATTCTCAACCTGTCTAAGAATAGTCTGTAAATGAGTGTCCAAATGCAAATTCTCGGATTGTGTGAGAGTTGGGCACCAGGGA